AAAAAGAATGCCATCCCGCAAAGAGGCAGATTGAGGTAGAAGAGCCACCTCCATTGTCCGACTTGCGCAAGCGCACCTCCAATGGGCGGGCCGATGGCGCTCGCGAGAGACCACGTAGCACCAAGGATGCCGAGATAGACGCCTCGCTCGCGGAGAGGCACCAGGTCCGCAACGACGATCTCTGCTAGGGAGAGGATGCCTCCGCCGCCCAAACCTTGGACGGTCCGACCCGCAATAATCGAGGGCATGTCTCTAGCCGAGCCGGTGACGGCACTGCCGACGGCGAAAAGAAAAATAAAGGAGAGTAGGGCCCACTGGCGTCCGAAGATCGTGGCGATGTTGCCGGACAGCGGAAGGATGGCGGTGGAAGAGAGCGTGAAGGCGGAACCGATCCAGACAAAGTCGGACCCCCCATGCAGGTCGTCGACGATCGTGGGGAGAGCAGTGGACACGGCCGTCTATAAAACATCTTAGCCACCCGCGCAAAATAGCAATGAGAGGGTGGAAACATACCAGATCAAGAGCAGCCAAGATCGATGTGACACAGAGAGAAAGGATGATCATCCAGAAGCCGAAGTCTTTCTTGAACGTCACGTTCTCTTCTGACTCGCTGCTCTCGGTGACGACAGCCTCTGCCTTCTTTGGTGGGGTGGAGAGAGTGAGAGCATCAAGACTCCTCTCCTCATTCTGGTCGACAAGAGTAGGAGTACGAGAGAGCCGAGGAGCAGTCGGGTTCAGGTCGGGGGTAGACATCGTGTCGCGCTCTTCAGCTTCCGGTGGTGTAGACAAATTGGGCGCGCTGAACGTCGGCAGCGCGTCCGAGAGATTGTGTGGGGAGATTTGACAGCTCCATCCGTACGACACTTATATAGGCGGCCATGACGAGCAAGCTGGAACTGCAGACGAAAGAGAGACGTAGGCTATGTCCACGTTCTCGAGGACCCATGCGAACGCCACCGTCGCTTTGCAAGCAAAAAGACGAGCAGATTACGAGCGCGCCACGGTATACATAAGCAAGAAGTTATAGTTCCCCCTCGGGCAATGGGATCGCTTTGCAAGCGAAAAGACCAGCAGATTAGGAGCGTGTCAAAGGCATATAAGCAAACGATTACCGTTCCATCTTGTTGGGCATACAGAGGAGAAACGCGAAGCGCCCGTTGTCTCCTGGTGGCGATGCTGCTAAGAAGAGTCGATGAGCGTGAAGGCGACAAGAACGGTACAGTTTTGACGAGTCGCCTTCGGTGATGCCCGATTGTATAGTCCCATGAATCTGCGGCGCGAACAGCACCGTCGAGCTGTGATTGGCTCCTGACCTGCAAGTCACGCAACGCATCGGTCATCGGGCTGTGGATGAATCGTCTAGGATATGATGAGTCAATTCGGTGACCAGAAGTTAGCAACGCGTCATAGATAACGGCCATTTTGCTTCAATCTGCGACGCAAGGTCTAGAGTTTGGACCAAATTGTACCAACGTCGTATAGGAATGTGGTGGTGGAATGTTCTGGTCGGTCAACCCGTCAAATCATCTACCAAGTAGGCGATCTTACAAAACACATGGGAGTCGGGCAATGACGTGCTCTGAAGACGTGTATGTTTCTCGCTCGTGTTTCGTGACGTCGCAGGATGAGGATTCCGGTGAATTTCATTGTCTGATTTGGGCAGTGTTTACTCCTCCGAACAAAAGGTGGCCCCAGACAGCGCAAGGTGGGCTCATCTTGGTCCTTGGTGGCCGACTGAAGCACGTTTCTTCAGTCTGTACAACAGCCAGCGCGTCGCCTATGGGATCGTACTCCCCTCGCCTGACGGGATGTGGGAGAGCATGGTCGCCGCGCTGAACAGGATGCTGTTTATCTTCGTGCACTGAATGTCACGCCTGATTCTTGTACTTGTGTACAGTTAGGGCGAGAAGACATATATGGCGAACGAGTCGCGAAGGCGAGAAACGTGAGAAGTGCAGAATCCGTTGACTACGTATTCTTCGTTATGCAGGAGCCCCTGCGATACAGAGTTCAGCATTGCACTCGTATTCACGTGGAGTAGCCTCGGGCGAGTGCGGCCGTGGTCAATGCGGGAGAGAGACTGGCAATGCATTGCTTGATGTCGAAGATAATGAGAGTGCCATCGAGTTGTACAAACATCGGTACTTCCTGGGTTCTTCTGCTGCGCGGTTCATACAGGGGGTTTGTACCAGATGAAACGAAGAGAGAGCCGGGACTGCAATAGAATAGACGGATAGATCTCCTCGTTATGTCCATTGACGAAAAGCAGCATGCCAGGAAACTGGAATGACGGATATATATGCTAGGAATATGATCATCAGCGTCCGATTTGTTGGGTTGTTCAGCTTTCGTGCATTTGCCGCTGTTGATGTGCATCTCACTGTTCTAATTGGTTCTTGATTGACATGATATCGTCGTCTTCTACGCAGCAGGTTGTGAACAAGAGTAAATAAGAGCTGCTAGTAGTCATCAACATAATGATACAAAGAAGAAGAATGCTGCCCTCGAGGCGACTACTGGCGCGACTACTTCCTCACAGCCACCATTCCCTTACTCTCCCACGTCTGCTCCTCCTCCTCGAGCTCCTTCTCACAACTCCTCATCCTAAATGGCCTCCCTCATCGCCATCCTCGACCTCAAAGGCAAGCCGCTCATCCAGCGTACATACAGGGACGACGTATCCCCATCTCAGATCGAGCGGTTCCTCCCTCTGGCCCTCGAGTTGGAGGAAGATGGGCAGGCTGTCAAACCGTGCTTTTCGAGTGGGGGAGTGAACTACATGCATATTAGGCATAGTAACTTGTACTGTGAGCACCTATATTGCATCTCAGGTGGGTGATACTGAATACTGAATACGGGATACCGCAGTGCTGGCACTCTCAAAACGGAACACAAACGCAGCAGAGATAATCATCTTCCTCCATCGGCTCGTCTCTGTCCTGATCGAGTACTTCAAAGAGCTCGAAGAAGAGTCTATCCGGGACAACTTTGTGATCATATACGAATTGCTGGACGAGATGATGGACTTTGGATACCCGCAGACGACCGAGAGCAAGATCCTCCAGGAGTGCGTCTTCCCTTTTTGACTTGTCCATGCGGTTGATCAAGCGGTTCAAGGTACATCACCCAGGAGTCGCATAAGCTCGAAGTACAGGCCAGTGTACCGATTACAGTTACGAACGCTGTGTCGTGGCGGTCGGAAGGTATCCGCTACCGGAAGAACGAGGTCTTCCTCGACGTGATCGAGTCCGTTAACATGCTCGTACGTCCCTGTTCTTCTGCACCAAACCCCCGCTCATATTTGCCCTCAGGTAAACGCCAACGGGAACGTGATTCGTTCCGAGATCCTCGGCGCAGTAAAGATGAAATGCTACCTCTCTGGCATGCCGGAGCTGCGTCTTGGCCTGAACGACAAGGTGATGTTCGAGACCACCGGCCGGACATCAAGGGGCAAGTCGATCGAGATGGAGGACGTAAAGTTCCACCAGTGTGTCCGCCTGTCCCGATTCGAGTCGGACCGAACGATATCCTTCATACCCCCTGACGGAGAGTTCGAGCTCATGACCTACCGCCTGAGCACACCGGTCAAGCCGCTGATTTGGGTCGAGGCGGCCGTGGAGAGCTACAGAGGGAGCAGAGTGGAGTATATGGTCAAAGTACGAGCGCAGTTCAAGAGACGCAGTCAGGCGAACAACGTCGAGATCTTCGTGCCTGTGCCGGAGGATGCGGATACGCCCAAGTTCCGGGTGCGTGCTCCTGAATTCGTACCCTCCTACGTCCCGGTCCTGACAGTACACAGGCATCAACAGGCGGCGTACAGTACGCCCCCGAAAAGTCCGCTTTTGTATGGAAGATCAAGCAGCTAGGGGGAGGGCGTGAGTTCCTCATGCGCGCGCACTTTGGCTTGCCTTCAGTGAAGAACGTCGACGACGTGGACCGCCGTCCACCCATCCAGGTCAAGTTTGAGATCCCGTATTTCACCGTCTCGGGCATCCAGGTACGGTACTTGAAGATTGTAGAGAAGAGCGGGTATCAGGCGCTCCCCTGGGTAAGGTATATCACCCAGAGCGGGGACGAGTATGCGTATGTGTATTTCCTGCTCACTGTTGAGTGTTGTGCTGATTTTGAGGGAAAGGATGAGGACGCTTCAGGAAAAAGATGCGTCGATTCAGCCTATATAGAGAGGGAGTTGTATACATATTTGTATCGTAGCAATACACCTTATATCCTGCGTTTGGCGTCGAAATGAGTGAAGAATAATAAGCGCTCGTCGTTCCACGCTGGCAAGACCACATTCCGCGTCGCCGAGAGTGCTTAAGCCGACGAGCTCACCATCCAGCTCGCTGTCTACATCAGTGTACTCAACGTATGCGACAGTCTAGAAAGGCACGTCCACACCGCCACGCACATGTTATCATTGCCTTCTGATCATCGCCGCCCTATTGTACTCACTAGGTTCGCACTCCGTCAAGCGCCTCGTCGTCCTCTGCCTCTCGACGTCCACAACAGACAATGTCCCTCCCCTCCCTCTTCTCTTCACCCCGTCCAACACCCACCGATGCCCTCTCGACGCCCACCTCTCAAGATCAATCCTCCACCGAGTCGCTCATCATCCCCCTCCTCAGCAAGCCCGACACTCTGCATCGGCGCGAGCACATGATGTGGCTCCTCAGGCTCCTCTTTCGCGGTTTTCCAGACTCTTATTCGAGTCAGGACGCGAGCCAGCCCTGGTTGATCTATTGGGTGCTGCAGTCGCTTATCCAGCTAGGGGGAGTGATGGATCCCGAGTCGGCGAAGAAGTGCGTCTTACACTCTCGCTCACTTACTTTTCACCTTACTTCTTGCACTGATCTGAGCTCATGTTTGTATAGAGGAGTACAGACGATAATGCGGTTCTGGTCCCCGTCAGGTGGGTTTGCAGGAGGACCGTACCAGAACGCCCACGTCCTCCCCACGTACGCCGCTGTCTGCGCGCTGGCCATAGTTGGCGGGCGGCCTGGCGAAGGCGGAGGATGGGACCAGATCGATCGGTATGTGTCCATTTCCTGTATTGTTAGGAGGAGACTAACGTAGTGTAGGGCAAAGCTGTACGACTTCTTCCTTAGTTTGAAGCAGAGTGATGGGAGTTTTATTGTCTGCGAGAACGGGGAGGTCGACATGAGGTACGTGCGCCATACCATCTGCCAGTGCAGCGTCTAACTTCCTCAATGCCGTGCAGAGGATGCTACTGCCTGCTGTGTGTAGCGACGATGCTAGATATCCTCACCCTCGAGCTGGTCGAAGGTCTGGCGGAGTATATAGCCAAGTACGCCCGCGCCTCATCACTCAGCGCTACCTAACGTAGCCCAGTTGCCAGACGTACGAAGGCGGATTCTCCTCCGCATGCTATTACCTCTCTTCTGCCCGTGGGAGACTAGGCGAAGCGCACGGAGGGTACACATACTGCGCCTTGGCGTCCCTCTTCCTCCTGCGCCCTCTAGTTCCACACGTCTTCCACCTCATCGACCTCCCCCGCCTTGTTCGGTGGGCCACGGGCATGCAGGGGCTCCCTGTAGAGGGTGCTGGCTTCAGGGGAAGGACGAACAAGCTTGTTGACGGGTGTTATTCTTGGTGGGTGGGGGGGATGGAACCCTTGCTTCGGGAGTTGGTAAGGGAAAAAGCAGGAGGAGAAGGGGAGTGGGAAGACTGGGACGACGCTGTCTTCCAGAAAGGTCGGTTCTTCCAGTGTCGGAGCGCGGATTGCTGACGTTGGAGTAGAGGGCATCCAACACTATACACTTGCGATCGCCCAACTCGCCCAAGGCGGGCTGAGGGACAAGCCTAGCAAGCCGCCCGATGCGTACCACACAGCGTGCAACCTCGCTGGGCTAGCGACGGCGCAGCACCGGGTTGCCCGAAGCCCGCAGGTGAGGCAGCAGATGCTGGGGAAGTGGGCGGTGGCCAGGAATCCCCAGGTAGAGGATCGGGAAGGGAGGAGGGAAGCATATTTGGCCAGCTGTGAATGGGCGGAAGATGAGGGTGCGGACGTCTACCTCGGGGGAGAGGATAATAGAGTCGTAAGTCTTCCTCTCACACTGCGTGGATGATGTGCCGCAGCTGATGTGCGTAGAACGCCGTGCACCCGTTGTATAATCTTACGATTACGAGCGTGAGGAAGATGATGGGCCACTTTTATGCGCAGGAACCGGTTAAGAGTTCTGTTGATCAGGATGACTGAGGATTGAGGATTTGTTGATTATGGATGCGCCGCTCAGACCACTTGTACGAGAAACGATAACGAATTTATGTCATGTGCTATGTTGTTGGTCTTGTCGCGTTGAACGTTTCGCAGTTGTAAACGAGAGGGCTAAGAACTTCCTCCGTCTTATCCATATGATCCAAGAAGATGAACGACTCCAACGTGGATCGGACAGCGGTATACAGCACTAAGCCTACAAATACCGCTGATCAACCCATGTCAAGTAATCGCTCCCCAACACACTGCCAATAGTATACGGTGCATCCTCTGCGCTCGTGTTCAACAACATCGAAAAATTCGCGCGCTGAGCATTCCATTTCCCGGGTCCATAATTCTGTACGCCATCAGGCGCGAACAAGCCGTTAAGGCAGGGAGGCTCACCTCGTACTCCACAAATGTGACATGGTCGATGTTCTCGTTCGGCGGGGGATCCCAGATACTCCACCCAGCCGGGTTAAGCTCCGAGCCCAAATAACTCCTTTGTACGCTCACAGCGGCATAATCATGCCACGGCCTCCCAAGATAGACCTTCCCGCTCGTTCCCGGCTCCGCATCTTCGGCAAGCACGATCTCGCACTGATCTAGCACGTAGAGCGCCGGGTTCGTAGCTGAGTCACGGCCGGAGGCGGTCACGCAGCCTGGACCGGCGGAGCCGATCCGGGATTTGGTGATGAAGGCGCGGCCTTCTTGCCCGAAGATGAAGTCGACGACGCCTTCGATGTAGGAATGGGAGTAGAACTGGGTACCAGTGTTGGCGAGGAGTGTGTCCTAGGGAGGAAGTCAGTAACACTCTCTCACTTGGAACGGCAAGCCTAACCTGATAGCTCTTCAAGCTCATTCCGTAATACCCGTGCTCGTTGCCATACGCGCTCAAGGCAAGTGCCTGTCCGTTATACGCACTCTCACCGAACGTGTTGACCAGGTTGATGTTGTACATCCCGAACCTGTCCTTATGCACGCGCACCGTCCCGCTGGCATCGTCGCTCCCCGTCGTATTCTTAGCCGCGTATCGGGTGATAGTGACTTCGTTCTGTTCCCAAGTAGACGCGTCCCGCGTGTAGCCGTAGACGTACGTGGGGCCAGTGCGGTTGATGTACACTGCTTCGCTGTACGTGCCGGGGTAGATGAAGATCGACCTCGTGGTGTTATCCTGCGGGAGAGCATCTACCGCTGACTGCACAGAGGGATACTCGTGCGAATTAGTCGTGTTCAATCGCACGATGGCAGCGCCCAGCGGCGGGGTGACGCGCGGGCCGAAGATGATCGGGGTTGCCCGCACGCAGACAGCAAGCAACAGTAAGCCACAGAGTCGCATCGTAGTTGAGGAGGTACACTGCTGGGCATTTCGACAGTCAAGAGTCCTATTATAGAAGAGCACCTGTCCAGAAGCAGATTGTTTGTGAGCGGTCCGGCAACGGTCCGAGCTCACGAAGTATCTCAGTGCTTGAAGGAGTCACAGAAGCGTATGACAGCAAGGCAGAATTCTCCCCGAGAGCATGTGAGCCAGACACGCAGATCCATCAGACAGGAAAACAACAATAGACCGTGTGGGGTGAGGAATGACCAGCATCCAGATGTCACAAGAAGGAAGAAAGGGACGTCTTTACCCCGCGCGGAGAGAGTTGATGAGAATGGGGCGGACGCTGAACTCACATGTTCATTGACGCCGCCCCCAATCATGAATTATTCTACAAACCGACCACTTGTGGTATACTTTACAATGCCCGAAACCCAGGAGAGAACAGTCTATGAGAAGATCTAGCCACACACCGGCTTATACCTCTTCCTGCCAACCACTCTCATCGTACACTTCCTCGTACCCATCGTCGTATTGTTCTCCGCCCTGGAATCTCTGGAGCGTTCTGTAGCCCGGGATCGGTCCGTCCTCCTCGACGACCTCCATCTCCTCCTCCTCCTCTTCTTCCTCGGCGCCTTCTTCCCCACCGGCGGCGGCGCGCTTCTCTTCCGCAGCAGAACGAAGCCCAGCCTTGCTCTGGGTTGGAGATGTCACGCCTAGCTTGAGCGGTCGATTGAAAAGCTGTTCTAGCGCATCGTAGTTGATACGCTTGCTCCGCACCTGCGGCTCTCCCTTCTTGCGATAAGTGCCAGTGATAAGAGCCATGGCGCTCTCCGCAGGTGTGGCACCGCGCGGGTTGCTCGAGTCACGCGGCCCAGTACGTTTGTTCGAGTGCTGATTACGTAATGTAATGGTTAGAAATTGTTACTTTCACGGCGAATTGATCTACCAACCTTTCGCTTTTTGGGTGCAGGCTCCTCCTCGCCTTGGGCAACCGCCTCTCTGGCTAAGGAAAACATAAGTTGCCATTCTCACTTGCTCGGTTTACGGTGTGTCTCACCTGCACATTTCTCCAGATATTGCCGATTGAGCTCCACCCAAACGCGCTCTTTGGCTTCCACCTCGGCATCGGTGAGGATGTAGTCATCGAGCTCTGCTTCATCAAGATCGATCTCCTCCTCCCCATCTTCCCAAGCAGGTGCAGAAGCGCGCATGATCTGCAAACGTTTCTCATCTAGTTGGTCAGCGATGGCGAGAGACTCCTCAATCACGCTCCTTTCTGCAGTCAGAGGGAGCGTCACTTCCGAAGAGATGAGCTGCTCAATGAGCCGATCAGTCTCCTCTGCGTCGTTGGCCGTCTATAAACTAACGTGAACATCGACGAAATTCAACTGAGCCCTGGTACGTACCGGGACAAGTGGACCGCTGCTGGCCACTTGGGTTGGCTCATCGGGGAGGAATAGCGGTTCGTCCGCTGCAGTTTCCGTAGGCGGCACCCCCATGCTTGCCATCTCGTCGATAAGGCGCTTGAAGCTCATGTCCGGCATCCCTGATGGGGGAGGAAGAGTTGGGACAGAGGGTACAACGGATAAATCATCTTCTAATCGAGGTCGTTTCGTCGCGGGACTTGGCGGTGCCGACAATCCCACGACCGAGCCATCACCGTCTGCTCCATCTGTCTTATCTCCGCGCTTTCGCTTGGAAATCACGCCGGATGGCGCAATAACAGATGACTGTCCATTCTCAAGTCGGGGGCGCTTGGGGGACGGCTCCGGTGTAGAAGGACCAGGTGTTCCTGCGACCGAGGAGTCGGCAACGCTCTCGTCTTCCTCTTCCTCTCCACGCTTCCGTTTCTTCCCCTTCCTTTTATTTTCCTTCCCCGAGCTCTGCTTAAGCAGCTTTGCCTGTGCCCTTTCCTCCTTCTCCTGCCCTTTGGTGAAGCTCGGCGGGTTCTGCTCGACGTCCAACCACTTGTGCCTGAACTCATCCAAGGAAAAGCTCGCGCTAGGTGTCTTTCCAAACTCGACCAGCCGCTTCTTCAGGGTCGTATCCGCAATCTTGACAACCTGCACGATCTCCAGCACGCTTCTCCGGTAGTTGTTCATCCTCGCGGCCAGAAGCAACGCCGCACCGCAAATACCGGATGGCCGGCGACCAGTGTACAGCCAGTCCCGCTTGAACCGGTGCACGATACGCACTGCGTCGTCCCGGATCTTCTCACGGTCTTCGCCGAACTCCAGCAGCTTGCTGAACCGTTCGATGTAGAATTCGGGATCGACCAAGTCGAGATTCTTCACGGGAAGGAGTTGGACGAGCTGCAGGTAGACATTCCCGAGATCAAAAACATTTGCCTGTCTCGTATCAGCATAATGGTAATAAATGACCCGCATATACGCACTTGGAGCAGATCGGATAGGTCGATGAGCATGATCGGCCTCTGATGCTGCCTGACCGCAATGTAGCAGCATGCGCCAATAACCAACAAACTCCTCCGACCCTTCGTAAACCCCATCTCATACGCGAGAATCCACCATCGCTCGGCGTAGCCGATAACGGTCTCTGTAATACCGAGGTGGCGTTTCAGCCCTTGGAGGATCTGGCGAGCTGCGCGACGGGTTGAGGACTATAGCTGCGGGAGTAACTATAACAGATGCGTACCTTTATGCTTCGCCTGCTCCATAGATTCAAAGTTACCCTGTCTGCCCCAAGGCGCATTGATCTTTGCTCGGGCTGTGGCGGATACATCAGCTGGTGTTCCGCATGTCAAGAGATATTGCACGTACTAGCACCAGCAGCAACATGACTTCCTTGCACAATCGCTGCACCTCCGCTCGTCTCACCGAATGTCACCTCCGCAACGATAGTGTTTTCCTCGGTGACGCATCCGCAAGTCAAGCAGAAAGAGGCACCAGCACTTGCGTCGAAGTCGAAACGGACGCCCCCACACTCGGGGCAACGTTGGGGAGGCTGTGGTGCCTGTAGAGGAAACTGAATAAGAATATGATACGACAACAATAGAAAGAATACACCATTGTTCACTGCTCAAAAAAATTGTGTCCCCAGGAGAGGATGCGGATGGCCGAAGAAGGTAATTAGGGTAGATGGTCGACAGCTGATGAAGAACCAGTCACACACCATCACAATTGCTTCCGCTTAGAAGTATTAGGCGCCGGGCACTAGCCAACTCTACCTCCCGAATCGATTATCAACACCATCTCTTTTGTATGTCTCTGTCTTCGACGTCTGGTCAATTGGCTGGTCTCCATCTCCCGATTCAACTGCTCTTGTAGCATGAGGTTCCACTGGGCGACAAGCTTACAAACTTGCAGTAACCAGTGTGCCCGCCGGTCTGCATGACTGTGTTATGCTTTTCGGGCTCATCATCCGGGATGCTCGGACTCGATGCGATGGAAATGGTATCAGAACCGCCAGCGTGTAGGAGACTCTGTCCGGCATCGACCAGCAACCCTGGATTCACGCTCTCCCAGTCTACACCTAATCGGGCTCTCCTTCTTCGTTCCAACTTCTTTTACAATGCCCTTCTTGCTCGCTAAGCATACATACCCTAGGGGTTCGCATTACCTTTGCAGAAGGCTTACCAACTTTCCTCACAGCCCTAAACCAGAGTCGCGCGCCTTCATATCTGTTCTCGCTTGTCTATCATTGTTCTACCACATTGGTCGTTCACTTGATGCTGCTGACCAACATGAAAGCTTACTTTAGAAGTTACAGGATATCGCCGATGTCGTTCCTCCGCTTCCCGGAGAGTGTGGCGACATAGCATGTAGAACTGACTTGGAGCTGGGGCCCTTGGGATTACCAACTAATGCCGCAATTTGTCATCGACTAAACTTCTGTGACTTCGATGTGACATTTGCCCGAGGCTCAGAACAGTGAAAACCGCAAGATCTTGGGATATAAAGCCGAGCTACGTTTCCGGTTGGCATCTAGCATACAGGTGGCTCTGTCCCAAACACCCTCACATCGATGTGTGGATTCAAGGCTTTTGCTGTTGCCGGTGCTGGAGACATCGGTCGATTTATTCTTGAGGAGCTCGTTCGTCATGTTGCAGATGACAGCGTAACGACTATAGTCGCGCTTACGCGCTCGGTGAGTGATCAACCCAGAATGCTCGCAACCCATCTAACACCGCAGAAGAGCACGGGATACGATGATTTGGAAGCGAAGGGAATTGTGTTCAAGACAGTCGACTACTCGGAACCTACCACTCTGGTCTCTGCTCTCCAGGGCATCGACGTTGTCATCTCCGCCATTACTCACAATGCCCTTCCCGCCGAGTTCCCCTTGGCAGATGCAGCTAAGGCTTCCAGAGTCAAGCACTTCGTCCTCTCCGAGTACGGCAATCCATCGAATGGCAAAACCTACGGCATGTTCGAATTGAAGAACCGCGTCCGGCAGTATCTCATCGCACTCGACCTCCCTTACTCGCAGTTCTTTACTGGCATATTCCCCGACTGGTGGTTCGACCATCGTCCTGAGTGGGGCTTTGACCTGCCCAACGGGAAGGCCGTGGTAGGCGGTTCGGGGAACGTGCCTATTTCATGGACTGCTAGGCCTGACATTGCCCGCTACATGGTGTACATCCTCACCCATCTGTCGCCTGCAGAGCAGAGGAACAAGGCATTTGCGATGGAGGGCGAGAGGAAGACGATCAACCAGGTGTTGGAAGAGTATCAAGCACGCACTGGCAAGCAGCTCGAGATCACCTACGAATCAAAGGAGTTCTTGGAGAAGCAAGTCAAGGAGCACCCGGATGACTTCGAAAATGGACTTGTTCGGATGCTGCGCCTGGAGTTCGAAAGGGGCGAAGGACAGACGGGGTCACCGGAGGAGGTCAACAAGTATTGGCCTGATTTCAAGCCTGCGAAGGTCATCGACGTTATCCCTAGCCTCTAGAGCTTTGAATTAAAGTGACAGCACTATATGAATCACACAGCGTGTTGAGAGCAATATCTGGCGCTGCAGTGTGGATTGTTGAGTGATCCTCTCTGATCATGTCCACGCGTCAACGCGAATGACTCAGCATGACGGTAGTGCGAGTCACGATGGAGTTACCGTTTGGCTCCCACTGCCTCTCCCATTTCCCCAGCTACGTTCCCGGCATGCCAGCTCCCAGCCCACCACCCTTCAAGACCACTACCCGTCTGCAAATCCGCGCCTTTCAGGATAACGACGCCGCCTTTTGGCTACATCTGCGCGGCCAAAAGAGCGTCTTACAGCCCGCCACCTTCGGGTATGCCGTACCCCCTGCGCTGAACATGTGGGAAACATGGCGGAAGTTGATCGACGAAGCGCTTTTTGCGGGCATTATAGAGGTGAAAGGAGATTTCTCGGGGTTGGTGAAGAGGTTAGAAGAGGATGAAGGGGTAGCTTGGGATCCCGCGCCAGAACAGCAAGATGAGCGCGGGAAGGAGAAATACATGGAGTGGGCAAGCAGATCACACCCAGCTGGGATCATATTGCTGCGGGTACACATTCCCAAGAATAGGGATGCCGAGCTGGGGATGATGTTTTCCCCCGAATGGCAGGGCTTGGGTCTGGGCATCGAGCTCCTCCGTTGGCTGATACCGCACGCATTCGACCAACTGGGGATGCACAGGCTGAGCCTGACTGTGAAGGTGAGTAACGAGAGGGCGAGGCGGCTGTACGAGAAGGTCGGGTTTGTCCTGGAGGGGAGGAGGAAAGCGGCCGTCTGGGAGGATGGAAGGTGGGAGGATATTCTGGAGATGGGCATCGTTGCGGAGGAGTTCTGGGAACGATGCCATGTAGAGAAGGAGCGAGCGAGGGAGGAGTGAGGCAGCGTTCGGAGTATTGGGATTTCAGCAAGAGATGCAGTTACAGCATAGACGGTCTAGAAATCTGTCACCTGCCTTGATACACCAATTCAGTTTCACCCTCAACATCCCAGCCCATAGTCTCAAATCTCCCTCCCCTCCTCCTTGCCATCTTCACATCAGACAGGGAAGACACTGATGCAGGAGATTTGGCTGCCACACATCTCTGGCAGTGGGACAAGCTGAGAAATACCTCCTCAGAGGATGTATTTCTCAGCTTGTCATTGATGACAATGAGAGTATCACAGAAGACCATGTAACATTACATGGTCTTTTGCAATACTCTTGTTCACACTGACCCCAATGGTGGTTTCATCATATGAGATTGATCAAACTTGAGAAGCTCATCAGCCTGTGCCATCATCCTAGTTCATCAGTGCAATAATGATCAGTCACCTGCACAGTTTCCCCATGCTTAAAAATCATGGGGCACTCTGTGACGGCATAATGGTCGTAACATGGTGGTCATCACATACCTAACGCCGATGTGACTCAAAGCCTTGCTGATGTCATCATCCATGCCGCCGGGTTATCATCGATGTAAATTGATTGATAATCAAATCAATCCACGGAAGACGATGGCATGGATGCACATATCCACGGCACCCTGTTCGTCCGAGATTCTTCGCCGGCCGGCCACGTCAGTCCAGCCGCAGTCGATATCCTCACTCAACGCCGCAGCTCAAATCTCAAACGTGGGAAAAACAGGCACGGGTTCGGCCGTCCCCGAACCCAATCTGGTTAAAACTGTATCGTTATGGTCAATTTCGGACCCTGTGGCTGCCTCGGCCCGTCTTAATATCGGGCAATGGCTACACTGCCACCAGGGGACACCGGCGCTTGGTACCAGCCGCATCTCAACTGATCATCATCATTAGTACTGCGTGTTACCTTACTGCACTTGTGAGCATTCCCGCCGCAGTCGACGGTCTGTCATCTACCACTCTGGACAAAATGAAACTCTACCTTTGCTTACTCTCTTGCTTTGATGAGCTCGAACTCCCCATGGCAATCGGCCCTTGGTCAACTAGTGCACCTGCGTGGACTGTCGGGGACGCGGACATGGGTGCTACGGGCGCTCGGCATGTTGACGCGGTCCCTCGCTGCGCTCAACATTGTGTTTTCGTCTGCTCCCAATTTGGCACTTCTAGTCGCGCATATAAGAGTCTCACACATAGATTGGTTGGATCTCCTCGCGGAACAACCTGAACTCGGCGCCGATGAACACACCAGCTTTCTCTACTCCACAGAAAGTACAAGCGGGCAACACCATGTCTACCCCCGACGCCTCCTTGTCTGCTTCGCGCCTTTCTCGCACACCCACTTTGGTGGAACCTAATGAAGACAGACACGAGCGGGATGCGGATACGGTCACCCTCACACCTCCACTGGAAGAAGCGCCCGCGATCGTCTCTGAAAGCGCAGAGCTAGAGCAGCACTATGGTGTGAAGAAGGATGCTGGATTCTGGATGATCATCCTCTCTCTTTGCGTGACGTCCTGGTTAGCTGCTATCGACCTAGTAAGTTTGCATACCGTCAATGTCTAATTCTTTTGGCACACATGCTCAACGCATTTGCAGACGTCCGTCTCCACCGCCCTTCCCACGATAGTCGACGACCTTCACGGCGGTTCCGACTTTGTTTGGGTCGGATCTGCCTTCACGCTAGCCTCCACAGCCATTCTCCCCCTATCGGGCAATATCGCCACCATATTCGGGCGCCAATTCTCCGTTCTCTCCTTCATCTTCCTCTTCGCGGTTGGGAGCGCGATCACCGGCTCAGCCCAAAACATGCCCGCGATGATCGCTGGCCGGACGATCCAAGGTCTAGGCGGAGGCGGCATCCTCTCCCTGGCAGAGATCATCGTTGCCGACCTTGTACCTCTGCGCGAGCGAGGGATGTATCAAGGCATCCTCGGCTCGGTATGGGCTTTCGCGAGTGCCATCGGCCCACCTATTGGAGGTGGTCTTGCCCAGGCTGGGCAATGGAGGTGGCTGTTCTACCTGAACCTCCCGCTCTGCGCGATCGCCTTTGGCTTGACATTCGCTTTTTTGAAGCTCAAGAGGCCGCCTGGTTCCATGAGGGAAAAACTGGCAAGAATCGATTGGATGTGAGTTTCTATTCGTCCTTCTTCATCGTGGATAGCTTATCCGAGATACAGTGGTAATATCATGATCATTATTGCCTCCACCCTTGCCATTGTCGCCCTAGTGGAAGGCGGCATCACCCACCCATGGAATTCCTACCAGATCCTAGTACCTCTCATCGTAGGTATTGTCGGCATCGGCATCTTCCTCGTGTACGAAAGCTACTGGGTGATCGGGGAACCGATGGTACCGTTTGACATCTTCTCCAACCGCACGTCTCTCAGCGGTTATGCTGGCAACTTCATGCACGGCGTCACTTCGATCATCCTCATATACTACCTGCCAGTTTACTTCCAGAGCACGATGCTCGCCTCTCCAGTCCGAAGCAGCATCCAGCTTTTCCCTTCGGCATTCATCATTGCACCTGTGGCTATTATCGTAGGCATCTCCGTCGCTGCGACAGATCACTACGTCACACAAAACGTTGTCGCATGGATGCTCTGTATGATCGGATACGGGCTCATAACCACTCTCACGAAGGACAGCTCAACCGGCACCTGGGTCGGATATCAGATTGTCGCCGCCACAGGCGTCGGCATCCTCTTCCCTGCGACAACCTTCCCCGTGCTCGCTCCGCTGCCGATAACGAAGACCGCGCATGCACTTGCGTTCTATACTTTCCTGCGGACCTTTGGTCAGACGTTCGGTGTCACGATCGGCGCCACGGTCTTGCAGAACGAGCTCAGCCGGAAACTTCCTTCTGCATTCTCAGCCCTCTTTCCGGCGGGAGTGAACATCGCCTACGCTGCTATTCCTCAGATCCCAACTCTTCCCCAACCATTACAGGATCAAGTACGCGTAGCGTTCGCCACTAGTCTATCGACGATGTGGAAGGTCACCCTAGGCCTGGCCGGTGCTGGCTTGGCGACGACATTCTTCATGAAGCAGATTCATCTGCATGTGGAGACTGACGATCAATGGGGCAGAGACGGCAAGCAAGAGACTGGAGATGCGGAGAAGGCGTTAACACTGAAGACGCAGGCCTCTGCATGAAGGAAGTGCTGACGGGAGTGGGACGTGTTTCCGAACAAGCTAGAGATATATCACTAATCTGTGCATCATGCATGTATTTATAGTCCGGTATTCCCTGCCCAAAATACGGCTCATTAGCCGCCCTTCAACTGAAGGTAGTGCGGGAGCTTCTTGTGAATTCGTTCTACCAAGCCAGTCGTGTTGAAGAAGGCCGAACCAAGGAGCTGCTGACAAGTTTCCAAGGGCATAAGCACCCGGGAAATGACAAACTCGCTTACCAGTTTGAAACAGCTGATAACGTCGCAGTGGACGGTGTTTGAAAATGATCAAACGAAACGTGTGCAATGTACGCCGGGTTATAAGTTTGAGAACAAGAAGCTTTGATGCGCCCGATGCGCAGACCGAGCTGAAAACTTCCTGCTGTCGATTCCCCATTAGTCCCGCTTTCGACAGGTTACAACTCAGCCACAAGAAATAGCTACTGGCCATGTATTCGTCGATTTCATGACTCGCTGGGTATTCCATCCGCTGATCACGTAGATGCAAACAGCCCTTCTTTCGGATCGCGTTCACAGCTGTTGCTCAATGGATTGGGAAATCGGTGTAGAGGATCCAGAGACGGCGGCTGTTGATGTTTGCAACGTGTAGCACACATAGGTCGATATACGTACAACGGTATTATTGTGGAGTTTTGCGGCCTGCGGAGTCGGCGAAGGAGGGTTCGCAGCGGTCAATTGGGGCAACAAAACATTACCTCAGCATTAATGCCGTAAATCTTTGCCCGCAGCCACGCCGGCATCACGTGTGCTCTATTGAGGTGGGGCGCACTGCCACCAAGGGTTAATATCACAGCATGTCGAAGGGTCCTGTGCTGTGCTTTACCAAGGTTATATAACTCCATATAAGTAGTAATTTAGAGTCGATTTCAACTTATTAGCTTGGTATAGCATCACTCCATGTATATCCAGATTAGATCAGACAAGTCTATGCAACATCTCAGCAGGTCATCTAAGTTGATTTATCTATTTCTTATCTGGGCAGTATATGATATGAGTAATTTATACTATATGATTCATACCACACCCATCTTTATTAAGGCAACATCTTGACTATCATGATAAGCTATATAAAGCTAAGATTGGTAACACTGGATTGGCCACTGCATATTTTGACTGGGTATGTATATGTCCATTGTATTCCAGCAATACCATGTCATTCATATATTGATATGAGATGTATTGTCTTGTTGTGTGTTGCACTTGCACAAGTAGATCAAGCAGTCAAACAAGTGTTTATTCACCATGAGGTGCAATCTACAATGTATCACAAGGGATCTATCTACTCACAACCCATCACAATCCTCCCTTTCATTGCCAAGTCCTCCAGGATGCCAAACAGCACCTCATGGATTGCAATCCCTTTTGCCCTGCAGAAGATAAACATGACTTTTCTGATGTCAGTTGCACTCCTGCTGGGGGAACAGAGACACTCACTGAGAAGAATGATGAAGGTATGCAGGTTGTACCTCATAACTGTTGAGCAACTGATGATGGCCAGCTGGATCCACAGCAAGAGCATGCCACTCCCCTTGGCCACTTGGTATCCCGCCCAAGCCCACCACTTGTACTTTGACACTGCTTCATTCTTCTTGAAGAATGTGCTGACGGTGCCCAGCATCTGCACAATCCTCCCAAAGAGGTCTGCAAGACCATTGTAGCCAGCACGGGCATTGGGACCCAGTGGCAGCCTTGAGAATGGAGTCAAGCCCACACTAGCCAAGCTAGATGAGCCCACACTAGCCAAGCTAGATGAGCTTGAGGCTGATTCTTGAGGGTGTGCTTGACCCACATGACGATACTCCTCATTGATGGCCTGACAGGCTATGTCACTGTGCTGCATGCGATTGCGGAGCACAGACTTGAGCTCCTCAGCCATTGGCGCCTGGGGTAGAGGGGGGGAGGCAATGACTGTGCCAACCTTGTTGTTGTCTTCAGGGATGGGCGATAATGAGGGAGCAAATGGAGGGATGGGTTCCTATCAGAGCATCAGCCTGGGTCCAACATACAACAAGACAATACATCTCAAGTATTGTCTTATTATGAACAGAAACATGCACCATTGCATCCTGCACATATATCACATCCAGCACCATCATTGCAGTAGCTGCATCTCCACCCTCCAGAATGTGCAAGTACAGGTCATAATACATCAAATGCTTGAACCTGGGATCATGTGGATACACCAGAGTGGTCCCCATGTCATTGGGACATGTGTTGTTGTGAGTGGTGGATGAGGCCTCATTGGGATCATCTTGGGAGTACACTGACCCCAAGCTCACAGAGTCGGCTTCATCTTCATTGCTCCTATGAGGCAGGTGATCCTTAGAACTCCCACCCTGGGAGTTCTCCTCTACCATCTTTCCCTTTCCCTTTGCCCCATCCTTGGCACACCTATTCAGCTCCAGGACTTCCCCAAGCACAACCTCCTTGCTCCTGTTGCCCACCACCATCTCAGAAAACCCAGTCCCCATCCTTTGTCTGCCTTGAGTAAAGACATTGTCTTGCCATTGCCATGTGTTGGTCTTTCTTGTTGTATGTGTTGATGAAGGTGATGGTCAAGATTGAAGTGGTATGCTGAACCCCATGAGGCTCTTATCCTTTGCCCGGATTTGGCACCTTGCATCTGCTGCCTTCTCCTCCTATCTTGCCTTGTTGCACCAGTGCACAACAGGGGCAGAAGCACATACTGCCCCCCTTTGCATGTCAGAATATACCACATAGGTAGGAATGGCCTTGCTGGTCAAAGAGCAATACAAGATGTATTGTCTTGTTGCATGTTGGAATTGCAAAATGGGAGGAAGTCAACAAAAAATCAGTGAAGTTACAAGTGAGATTGGCCACAGAGATTGACAAAGAGGACTTCATACAAGAGTACAGCTTCCCTTAAATCACGTGACTTCTCCCCTTTCATGCACTGCTGCGGGCGGAGTCTGATATATACCTGGCTCCTTGCTGACTAGTACGACCACCTCCTCAACCTCTCCATTGAAGTATTCCTGCTCAAATCCAATAGTAACACATCAAAGTGGGTAACTCACTGCATATACTAGATAGCCAGCACTAACATATGATTGACAGGTCTCTCTCCTGAGCACCAGCAAATCTGTCCAAGATGGACACAGACTTGTTAGGGCCCCCCACACGTATCAAAACACCAAGGATGGGTGCAAGGGGTTTAGGTGCGTCACAGACCTCTGGATTATAACCTTGGTCTGATCCAATATTAGGCCCCCAACCATCCAATGCGCAACAAGACAATACATCTCTATTGGCTCCCAATCTGACCTACTTTCTGAATGGTACTGAGTTCTGCATCCCCTCCACAGGCAATCCTGAGTGGGATATGGACATCTGGTTCCTTGCCTACCTGAAGACTCATCCTCATGTCTTGCAACATGTGGAAGTGACTGCCACCCAGCAAGTCCTGGCTTCAGTGCCAGTGGGACATGGGTTGAAACCATGGCTTCAAGCTCCAAGCTAAGTGTTGTGAAGTTGCCCACAACCACCTGGGCGGTGACAAGATACACTGCAATTGAGGCAGCTAAGGAATATTATGCCCCCTCCCCTTCTCTCATAATATGAATGCAACACAATGATTGCAATCATTAGCACCACACCTGTATGTAGAAAAGCCTGTAGGGCTTGTCACTCTCTAACTATGTTCATCAATTGTATGCTACATCTTGGTTGTGGCTCCGTCAAGTTGCAATGGTGCCATGTGCTTGATCCCTGTCCATGAAAACCAATCATACTACATCACCTGTTGATCATCACCTTCCTCTGCATCATCACCAGCTACTATCAATTGCCACACCATTTTCCTTGCTTGACTAGCTGTAACTTGTCTACCAAGGTTATCCTGATTTCACATTGGCCTATGGTCCCAGGCAGCTCAAGATGCTGGCTCTTGTGCCCAGAGGATCTGGCCATCATTGTTACCAAGATCCTGGGGCAAAGAACTTTGTAATCAAGATCCTCATGTAAAGAACTTGTGTCTGTCTCCATACACAGGTTTCATCAAAGCAGGATGGAGTTTTTGCTACCCTGCACCTATATATCCCCACCATCCTGAGTCTGCCCTTGCTGAGGGTTGATCCCTATATTCTAGTCAACTTCATCAGTTAAATGGGACCAAAATTTGATCTCCCCATCATCTGTACATGCCCCAACTGTGTTGCTCAGTTGGGAACATGAGGTTGGTCATGGTGGTCCATCAACTTGTATAGGAAGCACTTGTCCAATCAATGCTTCTTGTTAAGCATCCCTCAAGTGCTGCATCAGCTCATCAAAATGTATCCTCCTGGACAATGACCCCATCGATAATGGCCACGACACTTGCTCTGGAAAAGGTGGTCACCCAGCCATTCCCCCCCCCCACCCCCCATCAAGCCTGTTGAAGAAGACATGCACAACAAGATCATACATACACAGCCCAGCATTTTTGAGGGTGATGGTACTAGCCCATACAATTTGGAGTTGCCCCCCAAGACCCATCAAGATTTTGCTGGGCTTAACTGCATGCTTGGGGAACTCTTGGAATCCTCAGATGATCACAGCATCAATCTCATCCTTTGTCAGGGCACCAGCTCATTGCTTGGTCAAGAGACATGACTAAGCCTTTATGAAGTAGCTGGTATACCTTGGCATGTGCTGGAACCTGCTGGAAGGATTGGATGGTCAGGTGACCTGCTGTGCATGGCTGTGCATGACCTCATCCTTGGTCATATGACCTGATCACCTGACTAGGCTGAGTAAGCAAGATGTTCTAGCAGGTTCCACCACAGAGGTATAAATATAAGGCCTACTCTGCCTGGGGACTGTCTCTTCAGACTTGGTCTCTTAGGATCATCCACAGGTACCTATACTGTAGATAGGTCTTAGTCGTCAGGTCTACTCCACTTCCTTGTTGCCTGCTTAGACTCTTGGCACTCTTAGGTGAGCAGACTTAGTCAGCCTGTTGCCCTAACACTGTGTTTCTATGCTCAGTCAACCTCCCCTCAAGCAACCACTTGTCTTTCCTGGACTTCTTTGCCATGTTGTGTTCTGCTTTGAACTGTTGTTTCAGCTTGGACCAAATCAGGTGGAACAAAGCCTTGAGAGAGGGCTGCGTGAGCCATGCTTGGTCAGTGTTGGGGGACAGGGGGGTTTGCTGAAGTGCATCAGCTATGTATTGTCTTGTTGCTCATTGGAGCCATACCTTATTCTCCTCCAGAACCAGGGCAATAACCCAATCAATGATGGGGTAATTCCCCCCTTCATCCCACCTGGAAGCGCCCCAGTCTGGCAACATGTACGGGTCAGTACCAACAGGAGCTTGAGGCATAAATTGGCTGAGGAGGTTCTTACTGGGAATTTTGCCCCCATTTTGTTCCTTGCTGAAACCAATTAGGCCAAGGAAGTTCACTTTCAGCTGTTTCTAACACAAGGTGAGATAGATGTCATGCCCATTCAAACAGACTGACCTGTAGTCTCTCTCAAATGGCAACCTCATCCAGGGACAAGGCCGCCTTGGGTTTCTTGGCAGCCTGTGGAATTGCATCTTCAGCATCAGTACCTTGGATGTGTTTCCTGCAAGTACTAGTAGTACTCTTTTGTGGAGGGCAATCTGATTCATCCATGGCATTGAGATGGTCCTTGATCACATCCAGGGTGGACTTCATTTCATTGTTCTCACGAGTAAGTTTGTTCACCATGGTAGACAAGGTGTTGATCACCTCTCATAGTTCTGAAACCATCTCCTGCAGCTCTTTGTGCTTGGGGGACAAGCAAAATCAGAGGTGGAGAGTTGCCTGCAATCTTTGGTAAGCTATGATGTATTGTCTTGTTGCCATTCATGCTGACAACAGGTGCAGTCCTGCTAGTGCTTACCATGCCCCTCCTTCACTGAGTTCAGCTTGAAGGGCCTGGGCGAGACCTTGATGACCCTTGGCTGTCAACTTGCCCAGAGCTTTGACAATCGAATCAGGTCTGGGTGCCATGGGAGGTGTGGAGATGGAGGAAAGAAAATAAGGTGGCTGGGGATGAGATGGATGGAGAACAGCTGAGGTGATCAAAGATGGACCTGGTGATGAAAAAAAAATGTGATGTAGAAGTAGTAAGAATTTGTCAGAACCACAAAGTACTGCCTAGCTACTGACCACCCTAGTACACATGTACTTTGTGTTGGGATGCTGCAGATGGCCTGAAGAATATTTGACATACTCAGCAGAGATGAAGTGGGTGAATAAATTTTATGTTACTCTTCAGGTCATATGTGCTAAGTAATGTAAATATTGGCCTATACCATATGGATCTGCATTTAATATGTTTTACTAAGGTCACCTAAGCAAGCAATGCTCTTACTAACCCATATGACCTTAAAAAGGTCCCGCTCTGGTCCACAGATGTTACCCTAACACGCGGTGAATCTGCTGTTTTGTATCTTCCCTACGGCCACCTGCACATGTGTATGACCGGCCCAGAATGATCCTGCGCTCTCATGTCATTCTTCCTTACTTGCGGCGCAGCTGTTGCTCTGTCGGACACCTATCAATTTTCTGACAACATGAAGACTATTCGTGGAGGTCATCAAGGATTCCTGAAGGGACTCAACATGGTGCCAACCTGTCCTGCTTTCACCCCTAGATTTGCCCTGTAACTTACAGGCCTCTGGTGATATATAGACGGTGATCCGTGGCATATCTTCTGTCATTTCAGCGCGGGACTTTCAGTATATGCCTGGCACCTCTCCCGTTTGCGACCAAACCATTCCACTAGGCGCTGCGGAAACAGGGCTACCTACCACCCTTTCTAGCAGTCGTACTTTTCCCGAAGGAATGGGCTTCCAGGATGGACGTGAAGCAGATGTGGTTACACTAAATGTTCTACCAGAGGAGGCAACTGCGGTTGTGTCTGTCCTGAGCACCGACCAGAAACTAAGCAACGGCTCTAAGAAGGATGCTGGCTTCTGGCTAATTATCTTTGCTCTGTGCATGGCGACGTGGTTGGCAGCAGTAGATCTCGTAAGTAAATACCTCTTATTATTTGTTCCTCAAATCTTGCTGATACGGGCTGAAGGCTGCTGTCTCCACTGCTCTTCCAACTATAATCGCAGCTCTTTAAGGCGGATCAGACTTTGCCTGGGTCGGTGCCCCATACCAGCTTGCATCAACTGCCATTCTCCCTCTGTCAGGAAACATGGCGCAAATATTCGGTCGCCAATCCTCGGTTCTTACCTTCATCTTCCTCTTCGCTGTCGGCAGCGCCGTTTCAGGTTCTGCCCAAAACATGACAGCTATGATCGCTGGTCGTACCGTGCAAGGATTGGGCGCCGGCGGGATTCTATCAATGTCAGAAATCGTCGTTTCTGATTTGGTGCCTTTGCGCGAGCGGGGTATGTACCAAGGCATTATCAACTCCGTGTGGGCCCTGGCAGGTGTCACAGGGCCTCCTATTGCTGGCGGGTTTGCTGGCGCAGGACAGTGGAGATGGCTGTTCTATATCAACCTCCCTCTGTGTGGTGTCGCTTTTGGCTTGACGTTCTTCTTTCTGAAGTTGAAGCGGCCTCCTGGTTCGGTGCGGGAGAAGTTGGGTAGAATTGACTGGATGTGAGCACCTTCCCGCTGGCCCAGACCATAAACAAAGACAGAAATTCAATGACAAGTGCAGCGGCAATGGCATCATCATCATCGCCTCGACAATCGTTACCCTGGCACTGGTGGAAGGTGGCATCATCCATCCTTGGAACTCCTTCCAAATCCTCGTTCCCCTCGTTATCGGAATAGTCGGCATCGGCCTTTTCCTAGTGTATGAAAACTTTTGGGTGATCGGCGAGCCGATGGTTCCATTCGACATCCTCTCCAATCGCACCTCCCTCAGTGGTTATGCTGCCAAATCTCAGGTCTTCAAATGAAATTAGCAAATTTTATGCACGGAATCACCTCAATGATTATGATCTACTACATGCCGGTCTACTTTCAGGGTGTAATGCTTGCTTCACCTATCCGGAGCAGCATCCAGCTCTTTCCGTCAGCTTTCACGTCAGCCCCCTTCTCATCACCGCCATAACCGTCTCTGCGACGAACCACTATGTGACCCAGAACGTTACATCATGGGCACTCATCATGATCGGGGCGGGGCTCATGACGACCTTCACAAAGGATAGCTCGACCGCCACCTGGGTGGGATATCAGATCATCACCGCCATTGGTATCGGTGGACTCTATGCTGCGACGACTTTCCCCGTACTTGCCCCATTATCAATCACGAAGAATGCACACGCGCTCGCGTTCTATATCTTCCTGCGAACATTTGCCCAGACATTTGGTGTGTCGATTGGCGCCACAGTCCTGCAAAATGAGCTTATCCGAAATCTTCCGTCTGCCTTCTTCTCCCTCTTCCCAGCGGACGCCAATATCGCTTATGCCGCGATCCTTCAAATTCCGAGTCTGCCAGAGCCACTGCAAGATGAAGTCCGCGTGGCTTTCGCAACAAGTCTATCGACCCTCTGGAAAGTCACCCTCGGCCTTGCGGGAGGGGGGGCCGACAACGACATTCTTCATGAAACAGATTGCTTTGCATCTGGAGACAGATGAGCAGTGGGGAAGGGAAGGGAAGCAGGAGGCCGCAGATGCTGAGGAGGTACAACTTTCCGAGTCAGCGACGCCGGTTGTATAATCCGGATGCATGATTGGTCTATGTATCAGACAGGAAAGTATGTGGTTATCGAAATATGTGTACCATATCAACATCTTGACCGACATTATAACCGCACCAGAATGCCTAGAGCAGAAAGCATTACATACAGATATCCTTCCTATATTCACATCTAATCAAGAATCTCTTGTTGCATGCTTTCTCGTCCAGTACTCCTCCTCGAGCATTCCCATTCGGATCTCATCCACCCATCCACCATCCACCCAGAACGCCTTTCTTGTAACACCTTCGTGCACAAACCCGCTATGCAAATCTCAGCAAGATCTACTGTTAATCGGGATGAACTGTCTCGTACCACTTCTCATATACCCGCTGGCCCGCGGGGTTGCTCGAAAACACGCCTAGGGTAATCCGATGTAGACCGAGCTGTTCAAATCCGTGCTGGATGATCCACTCTGTGACCTCCGTAGCAAAGCCGTTGCCCCACCACTGTGGTGTGAGCGAGATACCAAAGGAGGCATCCCGATTCTTGGCCATATGCATACTGAGCACCCCGAACCCTGCAAATAGCTCTCGATCCCAGTCTGCCTTCATCTTCACCCCATCTGCCTTTTGCTCCTCGTCCGCGTCCCACTTGCGCAGGTGCGCATATTCCCGCTTCACCTCGACCACAACCACCAGCATCTCCTTAGAAAAGTCCTCTTGCAGCTTCTTCCAGTAGCCCTCGCTATTCGGTGCGACGTATCCGGGATCTGCGGTGCGCTTCACGCGGAAGTCGTTCTCGAGCGCGAGGAAAGGCTCCTTGTCATTCTCTGCTATTGCACGGAGGTTGAGATGCTGAGTCGTTGCGAAAGGGCGCATCGTGAGTTGGTGGTTGGAGTGTGCGAACAAGGTCACTGGGCAAAGTTGAAGTATGAAGATATCATTGGCAGGTACAGATAACCGGATTACAGAGCAAAGCTTCGAGTGATCGTCGGGCTAGGAGGACCGCGTGGAGCGCACCGATCTACGCACGACACATATCCACACAACCCTTTGGACTCTTCACAGGATGTAGCACCATCTGGAAATATTCGAATCTGAAGAAGCGCGAACAGCTGTAATCTACAGTACAGGCTAAGGCTGAAGGGCGCGCTTCTTTGCCCAATATTCCTCGTCAATAATTCCCATCGTAACCTCATCAACCCAATGTCCGTCAACCCAAAACGCCTTTCTGTTCACACCTTCCTGAACGAATCCGCTGGGAGCTGCATCAGGAAGGCCTTTGAGATATGAAATGTAAGGCCCAACGCACCATTTATCGTATACCCTTCTTGCAGCCGGGTTCCCAAAGTAACCCAGAGAGACGCGATGCAAGGCAAGTTGCTCAAACGCATGCTGCAGCACCCACTCTGTCACCTCAGTTGCAAACCCATTGCCCCACCATGGGACAACCAATGTGATCCCAACCTCCGCATCACGGTTCTTGGGGTGTTTCGGGCTTAGTGCAGCGTATCCGGCATAGAGCTCCCTTGCCCAATCCTGCGGAGTCTTCTCCTCGTCTTTCCTCTTCTCCTCATCCTCGTCCCACTTGCGCAGACCTGCATACTCCCGCTTCACCTCTATCACGACAACCAGAAGAGCTTTTGAGAGGAAGCTATCCTCCATCTGCTTCCAATTACGCTCATTTTTGGGTACCATGTATCCGGGATACGCAGTCCTCGCAACGCGTGCATCGCCTTCTTGCCTGGTGATATAGCCTTTGTCGCTTTCACGATAAGCACGCAGTTTGCAGTGTTGTGTAGTTGCAAAGGCCATGATTGTCGAATATGCCGGATACCGCGTTGTTCCACGTCAGAAAATGTGACCGAAGTAAACACTTGAGAGGGAGTACGTCTCGTGCACCTTCATACTTAGCAGCAATATATACCGCGTGTGCATTGTCGCGTGATTGATATCAGTGGAGCGCACAGGAGGAAGCCGGTCCAATTGGTAATTGACCAATCCGCCACGGCACAAGGTTGACTCGAACTGACTCATGCGCGTTGGAGTGAAGCACATGCCCCGCGGAGCATACGGGAATCGCGCCCGCGTCGACGACTTCGACATTGCATATCTTCGTTCTTCCATCCATCCACGGTCACAAGGAGTTTCGTATCAGAAAAGCCTACCAACGGACGGATGTCCATTGATCGCGTGCATGCATTGTCCACCGATGAGATAGCATAAATCGAGTCAGCAAGAAACCAATGTCAGAACTTCGCCCTCCGCCAAACATTGCAACCCCTCGCTTCGCAGCATTGGCCACACCCACAAAGTCTGTTCAAGGTCTGAACAGCGTTCCCATGCTCTGCTCAGTGGCCAACTGATAAACAAAGAATCGTTATGAATGCCGAAATGGGATACGAGCTCTGCAAAAAGCCGAGGAGCATTCATAACTTCTAGCCATCATCTCAGGAAAAGTTGAAGGCTAATTTTGGGTGTTTGATGGGCCTGTGCCGGCAGATTCAACTGATACAGGGAACATCTATCAGCAAATGACTCTTCAGGAATTCTTTAGTGGCTGTGTTGACACTGTACAGTACTCATTTCCATGTACAATGTGTACACTCTCAATACCCTTTGAATACAGCGTTCAAAACGTATAACCGTGAGCTTCCGTGTCTTCTGAATCTCCAAGTTGTTACTTCCAACATTACGTTTGGTCGGTGCACCTTCGTTTTGGGTCGCTTATCTTGAAGGTCCAATCGATCCCAGTGATATGAATGACAAGTGAAGCAATCGGCCCGTCTCGTCTCCCTACATCACGCCACCGGTTTTCAAAGATCTGCGTTATTTTTGTCACCCATTGTGACCATCCTCCTGTCCAGCAGCCCTCCGACGGGCGGGAAGGCTCTGTCCTCTCGAAAGCCAAAGTGTGCAAGGATGGGAGACACCAACCGTCTCTCCCCAAAGCAGTAAGATTTCCAGGGAATTTGATCCAAAACACGTCATCGGCAGGTTTGACGATTCGCAATGACTGAAGCGTGCATATCTGCATAATCGACAACCAGGGTATAGTTCGGAACGGAAAATACAGAGTCAATGTGGTCAGGTGTGAATGACTTCGAGTGTGTTTCAAACTGTCCAGGAACGTTGCACAGAATTGTTCTGGCCGAGGAGCAGGGGCCCACACCGCATGCCCCCGACGTTCTTCGGGCTGTGGTATGTCCCTAGCGTCGAGTATCAACTGTTCAAGGCTTGGCATCTCCACTGACGCTATGAGATGAGACATGTACGCATTGGGAGTAATCGTTAGCACGGCCAAGAGGTCCATGGTAATAGTAGGAGACGCAAGAGCCACCGACCATCCAGAAAGGCGAAGGCTGTTGAGGGAGGAGTACGCAATCAACGAGTCCAGCACTGGGGCAGAGAAACCACCTTGTACAGCTTCGTAGGACAAGTGAGATACATGTCCTTTCAAGGCAATAGGAGTAACACAGATATTGCGAAGAATGACTGTTTCAAGGCGCGGTGCCCGCTGAGGCGACAATAATCCATGGAGGCGCTCGGGGCTCATGACGAAGGACGGCGTGTACTTTACGAAATCTTGTGCAAGACAAATAGTGCGCAGACGCGACGTGCCACTCCAGATGGACATGCGAATCGTTTCTTCCGAATAGCTGTCGATGAACCATCGGATAACAGCACTTGGGGACAGCTTGTACGTGAAGGACTCCCATCGATCGGCGCTTTCACAAACTGCCACCAGTACATCGGTCAAGTGCGGTCCAGCCATCGGGCGATCCTGTGCATAACCCTCTTGAAGCAGATCAATCGTAATGTCCAGTGAACGAGTATGTCCCGATCTGTTGATCCAAGTGCGTATCCATTTTGCTGGGTTTTGTCTCCCCAAATGTCGGAGAGTACCACGATCAAGGTGTATGCGAGTCCATCTGTAAAAATGTATTAGCACGTCTGAATCTACCGTGGGGAAAATTATGCACAGAAGAGGATGTTCGAGAGCAAGTCCTCGCCAGGCCCTGCATGTATGCGTCACGGCCCAGACAGAGACAGGATCCACATCCCGACAAAAGCTGAAGATCTCAAGGACGTCGACGTTCAGTCTCTGGATACATCCCTTGCGGGCATAAGGAGTATTGGCAGCAAAACGCGAGTTTACTAGGTGCATGTTCCGTTGTTTGTTAGATAGTGATTTGTAAGGGTGATGGAGAGTGATGGTAAGAAAGAAAGCGTTCACGCGTCGCGGCGCCCCTTATATATCTTTCGCCGGCATTGAGCTGGGAATTCAAATCTCTTCGGAGGCAGAGTCCCCACAATGCGGGCGCAATTTCCCTCAGTGCCTCCCAAAAAAAGGGACCTGCCCTAAGCAACCCTTTTAGGAAGGAGGGATAAGGGGAAAGAGTTGAAGGAAGGGGTCCAGTACCTAAATACAAGTAGAATATATAGTATATATACACATTTATTATAATATTATAAAATTGTGGCAAAACACTTAAAACGACGCTGCATCGCGTCCGGACCCTGGTGTGCAACTTTTTCCCCTTCCCCCTCCTTCCTAAAGGGTTGCTTAGGGCAGGTCCCTTTTTTTGGGAGGGGGCACTTGGGGGGAAGGGGCATTGTAGGGACACGACCTCCGAAGAGGGGCATCGGAGGAAATTACTCAATTCGAAGCGCAGCACAGGTCACATTCCCATCTATACCGCATTTTACAAGGAAGCCCACACTAACGGAACATCACGAGCAAGCAAAAAACCGATCTGCAAATGATAAAAAGGGGAGAAACATAAGTAAAATGAGTCTAATTGGACGAGTGTTCCGCTTCGTACAAGGGTTTCCGCGAGTGCGCCTCGTGTGCTGAAAGGGTGGTGGTGGTACTGCTGCTGCTACTGTCGCTTCACTTCGCTCTCCTCTTCCTGTTCCTGCCGCCTCGTGCGTTTCTGCATGTGCCTCGGGATAATGGGGTTCGGATTCGGATTTTCAAAGCCACTCGCTCAGCCCATGAGATCCCCAAACGCCTGCATCTCCGGCCCTCCACTCTCCTTCATCCCGATCTCCCAATAGCTATAAATGATCGTGACAGCCATAAGGATACCCGTTCCGCTTCCCAGCGCGCCCATCAGGTCGGCAGCAACACTGAGCATGCCTAGGACGGCTCCGCCAAACGCTGCAGCAGTGGGGATAACCCGCTTGAGCTCCTTGTACATCGAGCCTTCTCTGTGGCCGGCCATGACCATACCCTGTTCCTTGAGGTTGCGCGCGACTTCGCGTGGACCTGAACCGGAGACTTCGATCCAGGTCTTGCTGAAAAGTGCGCAGGCGGCGAGCATGAAGCTAATGTAGACGACAGTGTGCACGGGGTCGAGGAAGGCGGACTTGAGCGTGTGAGGGGGGGACATGTAGTATGCGATGCCGGAGACGGCTTGCAGCTGGGAGGAGTCGTCCATGGGCTGCAGCATACATCAGGATATGATGCGAGGAATAGTGCGTGAAAATAGACGTACCTCCCAAACACCGATAAGACGAACAAGGATGTTCTCCGGGGCACGGTTAAACAGCATCTGGCTGATGAGGTAGACGTTGCTCTGTAGCGCACTCTGCAGCATGATAGGCATGTTGCTCGTATAGAATAGCTTGATGGGGTATGTCCCGCGCTGACCGCGGAACCGGTTGCTCTTCACCGGAATCTCGATCCTGAAGCCCTGCAGGTAGATCACGGCCGCGAAGACGATGACAGTAGCGATGAGGTTCCAGATGTTGGGCAGGCGGTCCCGGAAGAAGGCCTCTTTCAGGGCGCGGGACTTGTCGTTCCACGTGAAGAGAAGATGGAAGAGTGCGATGATGGCGCCTTCGAACTCTGCTCCGCGCCCGGTGTTGACTGTAGTGGGAGAAAACGCTTTCCAGACGATGGACTCGCAGATGTTGGTGGCGATGAAGAGGGAGATTCCGGAGCCGAGACCGTACCCTTTTTGCAAGAGCTCGTCGAGGAGGATCACGATGAGTGCGGCGACGACGAGCTGGAGGATGAGGAGAAGGCAGACACCGGCACCAAGGTCGCGAGGCTGACCGTAGAGACCCGTAACGACGTAAACCGTTGCCTGGCCGAGGGCGATGATCATTGCGAACACTGGAATGTCGTCAGTCCCCCGGGGTACTACAATAATTGTTAAGAAGAGAACGCACGCTTTTGGGCAGCACCAAACAGGGCTCTATCCTCTTTGAGCTGGAAATCCACTTCGATCAAATTAGCACCCGCCAAAAGCTGCATGATCATTCCCGAAGTGACGATAGGCGTGATACCGAGTTCCATGAGTGTACCCCTGTTAGAGGCGAGGATGACACGCATCCAGTACAGCGGGTCGGACGAGTCGGATGACATGATGCCGTACCTTTTCGCTGGTTAGTGGGTCGTGTGCCCTAAGGGAGGGAAGTACGTACAGAGGCACCTGACTACAGACGAGGAAGATGAGCAGCGTTACTGCTGTCCATAGCACTCTTTGATTGAAAGGTACCTGAAGAATTATAAGCATGTAAGAGAAGGAATGGGACGAATATGCGCACTTTTCGATCAGGAGATGAGATTTCGGGTAGGATTGGCAGGAAAGGCCGGACGAGGTACAAGAACCGGACTAGTGCAACAAGTGAATATTACACTCTCTATACATGTGAATTTACTCACAGCCGGACATAATTATCCAACTTTCCTACACCAAGTGTAATGAGAGTATTGAGGTCGGGAGGTAAGAAAGAGTAAGGGAATGACTTTTTGCTAGTGAACAAGGGACCTTTCACTCGAGGGCAGCGGACGTGGACGTTCGCGTAACGTGGCATGTTGCTTCCGTTTCTCCGTCGGAGTCGGTTCCGGCCGGAGTTGTTTTAATTCATTTCCATTCAGTCGTTGTCCCCGTCCCTGAGTGACACACTTCTTGCTGCGGGGAAATGTTGTCCTTCTCTCGCTGTTCACCTTCTTTGAAGCGTAATGGCCACCACAGAAGAATACCGTAGTCCGCATGCAGACTCTCTCGAGCTCGCCACCAAGCTCCCGCCAATCCCTACGGATGAAACGACAGTCGCGGAAATCGTTGATGAGCTCAAGGCATGCGAGACTGAACCCGTGTTTGCACTGATCTGCGAAAAGATCGAGGAGGATATCTTTTGCTCCTATGAGGTTGCTGAGGTACGTCTTATCTCTCACTTCTGAGTGTTCGCTCACATCACTTAGAATACAAAGTTGCAACCTGTGATGCACGACACCATGCTTCGGCTGAAGCTAGGTTACTTTGGAACGGGGAAGGACACCCCAAAGCGGATCGAAGACACGTGCAAAGCCTACCTAGCGCAGGAGGTACATCTTGCCTTCCAGCCCCCACCCGCTCTCACGGAGCCCAACCCAAGCCCCGTACAGCTGACATTCGTAGACGTCAGCTCCCAGCATCGGAAGTACGACGACGTGGATACCTGGGACCCCGAGGTTGTGGAAGCCAGCAGGGACGAACCTTTTGACCACGCATTTATGCGTTTCCGATCCCAGGCAAACACGAAATACCGGCATCCCTACCTGCCGACCGTGACCTTTTACGTCCTGCGCAACGGCGAGGAAATCCGGATCCGTCAGACCCCGCTCTCCTACACAGTGGGGGACCACCTCTCCCAGTCTAGTGAGATACTCTATATCCACGCAGACGACTCCTTCCACACAGCTCAAGCAGCATGGCCCCATTCCCCCGAACTAAGGAAATACGAGATGTGGAAACGCGTCCTCCCCCCATACTGCCAAACGCCGTCGAACTGGGTAGACACTACCCCTCCCCCGTCCCTCTCCCTCCCCGAAAGACCAATAGAAGGGTTCTGGATCCCAGTCCCCACGCTCTGCCTGCCCGTCTCCGGGCTCCTACCCCTCCCAAACACCCGCACACCGGACCTGATCCCCAAGCTCACGTACATCCCCGCTCGCGCATGGCCCTCCCAGCCCGAGCCATCCACGTTCATCTCCATCGACCAAGCGTCAGACGTGTGCCTCCCTTCAGACCGGCTTGTCCCCCCTCTCACGCTAGAACAAGCGAAATCCCTCCTCGGCCGAATGATCCAGTTCTCGGACTTGGAGCCCGGGCAGGAAAAGTATCGTTCCAAATACCAGTCGCGCGAGCTAGCGTTCGCGTTCGGGCTCGACTCGACAACGATGAAGCTGTACGTGCGCGACCGGCATGGGCAGTACAAGTCTGCTGCGTATACGCTCTATTTACGGGAGACGGCGCATGAGGTGCATTCGGCGCCTTGGGACCCTGCGCCCGAGGCTGTGAGGCAGAGACAGGAGAAGGAACATTATGGGCACGGGATCTGGGGCTTGAGAGCGAGGTTGTGTTCCTGGGTCGGGGTGGTTACACTCCCTGGGGATAGGGACGCGATGGGGGTGAGGACGGGCGGGACGGAGGATAAGAAACGGCGTGAAGAGGCGGAGCAGAAGGCTGCAGACGCGTTCTGGACCAAAGTAGACGATGCGATCAAGTTGCTCAACCCTCCCCCTGTGGGTATGACACTGGAGGAGATGGCTGGACCGCACCCGAAGCCTGTACACTGGGAAGCACCCTTCGAAGTGGGGAAAGACGGCACGCTTTTGGTGGGGGATATCGCTACCTGCCGGCAGATGTCGGACTTTAGGGAAGTGAGGCGTGTTAGGCCGGGAGTATGGAGAGCGTGGTTTGTCCGTGTTGGCCCGGAGAGCAAGCATGCGGAGTATGAAGGAGGAGTGGAGAGCGTGCATATGCGCTGGTTCGGGGAGGGTACGGTGGACTATTCTAACCCTAAGGCGGAGGAGAGCGAGGAAGCGAAGCTCCTGGAGCAGGAAGGGGAAGGCAAGCCTTGGGAACGCGTTTGCGTTCTCTCAGTCGACGCTGGCACATGTGGCATCCTCGCCCGTTCTTCCCTCTCTAGAGGCGGGTTCCTGCGATCCAGATTCGTCGACCTGGAGGGAGTGCTCGAGACTCTCGCAGAAGGAGGGCCGGGGTCGGGGATGTATTTGAGTCCTACGCATGTTCCGGGCGGGATCGTGTGCCCGAGTGGGCCGGGGGATGGGGGGTATGTCCTTGGAGGGAGGAGGGATGGGCAGGGGAGATGGGTGAGGATTGGCTTGGATTTTTGGAGGGATTTGACTAAGGGGGAGGAGGAGGAGGAGGAAGAGGAAGAAGAGGAAGAAGAGGACGAGTGAGGAGAAGGATGGCCATCGTCATGCGTACAAGGATTCATGGTTTGAAAAGTATCATGTACGTATTACATATTATCAGTTATAAGGAGATCCTGCCGAATTCCGCATTAAGTTCATGCAGCAGTCCAAAACAGCGAGTTTCGCTCAACCCGCTTTGGCCGTACTCGTTCCCGCACCGGGAGCCCTCGTCCGATTCATGAGAAAATACACGACCACCGCGACTACGATAACGAGCACGACTACATTCCCTATGTACATATCAGTAACTATATATCGACCATCATCCCCCTCAGTAAGGGGACTCACCGGTAACGAACCCCACTACGCCTCCTACCGTAGCGGTAAGCGCGTGCCACGCAGCTCGGATAAGCTGGAAAGGGGCAACGAGCAGCTGCTGGAGGATGGCAAAAGCAGCTTGGAAGATGCTGAGGATTGCGTGCAGGAGGGAGGAGATGAGGTTGAGGATTCCGTCGAGGAAGGAGGCCATTACAGTATGCTGGTGCGGGTTGTGAGGTGAATTGGATGGGTGTGTGGGGAGGAGAGGAGGTGTTATATACCCCATGGTGGGTGTAGGTGGCTGCTCGATGACGTCGTTGGGCGCTTCGGAGTTGTGGGGTAGCAGCACGTGGCAGAGATCGGGCGCTTGGGGCACTACAGCACGTGATACGACTAGCCTTACTTTCATAACGTAAATGAACACTTTATGATATTCTTCAACTTGGTTTAGAGGAAATCCGGCGAGTGTGAGTGTTCGATAATGGGCCACCGCTAGGAATAGTTGAGAATGTGGATAGCACAGCATTAGCATATGATAATTACCCCTAGTCCCCTAAACCCCATTTCAAGTAATAACCATCACCAAAAATACACCAAGGGCCAACATTCTCCGAACCCCACAACACCTAGAATATCACATGACCCAACAATGCGTGTCCTCCGTCGCCGACTTGTTCTCCTCCTCTCCCTTCCCCTCACCCTCACCCTCCTCTTCCTCCTCTACCTCCACCGCCTCCAACTCCCTCCCCAAAACGCACACTTCCGCCGCCCCTCCCCCACTCCCTCGGAGCTCCTCTCCCTCCGCAACTCCTCATCAAAATACGCCCTCTTCCACCAACTCCGCGGAGCAGGGTTCAACAACCAACTCCAGGAATCACTCCTCCTTTCCTGGATCGCTAAGCGCGCAGGGAGGGCCTATGTGTACAGGGACGTCATCTGGCGTCCGAGGGGGTACGAGCAGGTCCCGCTGGAGGAGTTTGTGCAGTCACTTACTGAGCAGCCGGCACTGCACGAAGAGGCGTTTAAGAGGTTATGCGATGGGCAGAAGATCTTACGTGCCATAGATGGAAGGTATCCTTTTCCTGAGCGGGTGGAAAGGGTCATCCAAGACCTGCAGGGGGACGAACAGTGCGCCTACGTGGAAGGGAGGATCATGGATTGGCCGTACGTCCCCATTCCCTCATCTACCTCTTTCCCCCAACTCACTACTCGCAGGTTCCTAGACTCCCCCGCAGCGTTAGCGCTATACGAACCTTTCCTGTCCTATATTCGAGACTTCCGCTGGTCCCCCTGGGTGCTAGAAGTCCACGCTCGGGCAGTAGGAAAGCTAGGCCTGGGGGAGGGGTACATCGCCCTCCATATCCGGCGTGGTAGGTTATTCCCGAGTTCATCAAGAAAGAGCAGAGCTGATCCCGTACCACAGGGGACTTCAGCTACCACTGCCCGCAGATCGCCGCTCAAGGAGCGTCGTTCAACCTCTGGTCCCGACTTCCCTTCCTACCCGACACACCCCCTCACCCTCTTTCCCCCTCCACGATCCTAACCCACTGCTGGCCCTCTTTCGGGGATATGTTACTCCAGATCTGGGCCGCTCAGAACCAGTACGAACAACGCACGGGGAAGAAATTGCGCAAAGTGTATGTCTTACATGACGCGAAATGGGATGCTCCTTGGGTGTGGATCCTCCTCCGCCGATTACAGTTCTCGCTTTCTGGGGGCCCGTTCAGGCTCCAGTGGGTCGAGGGCGGTTCCCTGCCTTTGACCTGGGAAGAGAGGGATCTGGCCGTGCCCGTAGATATGGAGATCGCCAGACGGGCAGAGGTGTTCCTTGGTAACGGGTTCAGTAGTTTGACCAGCGGGGTCGTGCTTTTCAGACTGGCGGATGGGAAGGAGTGGGAGAGCAATAAGTTTTGGTAGTGGCTTTACCGGTGTACGATAGAAAATGGGAAATTGGATTCGCACGCAAATGAACAAGGGTTCGGGACGAAGATACTCTACAACCAGGTCGAATGGACTCAGATAGGAAGGGAGGAAGACGTAAAGTCCGTGTCTACACTCGGGTGGACGATGTATATGATCTTCCCCTCCGGCACTTCCTGCGATTCTTCCGACATCAGACTTTCCTGGTTGTCCCCTCTCAGCTCCATCACATAGTTGTCCTGTCCCATATCAGCCGCGCTCATCAAGGAAAGACGAAAGAACAGACCTTGACAAGCTTCTTCAACACCTTGTGGAAGATCGCTTGCTCGAGCATCAGTTCCTGTGGTCCGGTAAGCTCTTCCTCCATCTGCTCCAGGTACCACGTCTCGAGTTCCTCAAGCTCCAGCCCTGTGCCCGTGCTGCGCTCTACCTCGGACAGGTGGATCACGATCATGTTCATCATGTTGACGTATTTGTCGTGAGTGATACGCAACTTTGTGGGCACGGTGGGCTGCTCGGGTGCCTGTGTTGGTGGGGCTGTCGGACGGACGGGGGAGGAGTACAGGTCAGCACCGATAGATGCTGATGGACCTGGTGCGTCGGTGCCATCCATGTCCACGTCGCCGTCTGCATGGGCTGGTGCAGGTTCATCATCATCAAAGTCGATGTCGTCCTGTTCGACATGGATGATCGACTGGCGAAGGAGGTGATATGCCTCACGAACAAACGCAGGAGTGATCTAAACTGCGTCAGGGAGTGTCTTCCAACTGAAGTCCATTCATGCCTACCTCGTCACGACAGTTGGCTCTCGCAATAGCCTCGCTGAGACGGATCATGCTCTCCAATTGACGGACGGTAATGCGATACGAGTTCCTGCTCACGCCGCTCGCGTCGTCCTGTCGCAGCAGACGGTATTTCTCGACAAGCACATCGGCAGCTTCTGGGGTCATCTTGGGATTGAATGTGCGCGCATATCGGATATACCGCTGGAGCGTTTCTGTGGAGAACTCGGGGTTGATCGCCTCGCTCTGGAAACGGTGTACATTGACGATATGGCTCGCGATCTTCAGGTCGATATCTTCGTTGCACTGGTCAAGGACGACGAAGAATAGGTCAAAACGGGACATGATAGGTGCGCTCATGGCGACGTTCGCCCTCAGGCTTATCTTGCGGTTATACCGACCGCCAATCGGGTTAGCAGCGGCGAGGATCGATGTCCGAGCGTTCAGAGTTGCGTGAATGCCGGCCTTTGCAATCGAGATGGTCTGCTGTTCCATTGCCTCGTGGATTGCAACCTGATCGGCAATGTCCATCTTATCGAACTCGTCGATGGCGCAGATACCGTTATCGGCAAGCATGAGAGCACCAGCCTCGATCGTAAACTCGCCCGTCTCCTCGTCCTTCACGACCGCTGCCGTGAGACCAGCTGCTGACGAAGCCTTGCCAGATGTGTAAACAGAACGAGGCAGGAACCCGCATACGTACTTAAGGAACTGCGACTTGCTGGTACTGGGATCGCCAACAATGCAAATGTTGATATCACCACGAAGGTTGATACCTTCAGGTGTTTGCTTGTGTACGCCCCCCATGAGCTGAAGCAGGATGCCCTTCTTAACTATTTCGTGACCTGCGAGAAGTTGTAAATGTACGGTAATGAAGTGGGGCAATCCTCCCACCATAAACTGTTGGCGCAATGCTGCTAACCAAGCTCGAGTACAGGTAGTCCTGGTTTACCATCGCCATGAGCTCCTCATACTCCTCTTTAGTTAATGATTCTAGGTAGGCTTCTCGGTCGGTCTCGTTGTCTTCCCCGCGCACATCAGCAGCAGATGCCTGTAACTTGGGTTAGGACTGCGCAATCAACAGCGTGTATGCAGTTTACCCTCATATCACTATCCCGCACCATACATGCTAAGAACGCAGTCTTGTACTGCAAATCCCGCACACCGAGGCTCTTCAAACCGGTAACGCCCTGGCTTGCAACACCATCCGCGCCTGCCCGACCTCCTCTGGCCTCGCGCTGCATCTCCGCGTTCACGCCCGGCAAGCCAAGTTGACTGACGTCCGGAACGACGATGAAGGTCCCCGTGAAGACACACTTGTCGCCTGCCTTTGCGCGCTCGACCAGTTCGCCTCGGAGGATCACATCCAACGAGCGAGGCATCGACCCAGTCGGAATCTCGTTCGCGTTTTCCTGGATACGCACTTTTTGCCAGTCGCTGAATCGGCTCTGCTCAATGTTCAGGTCCCATCCGGTGCGGTTGGAGCACTGAAGGTTCTGGCATTGTGCGGGCTCCGTGTACTTGAATTGCTGCTCGACGTCACGCACGCTAGCTTTGCAGATGGGGTTTCCGCAGGTGAACGTGCCGAACAGCAGCTCTGGCCGCACTTCGGATGTACGAGTGACAGTGCCGCTGATGGAGAGAAGAGTACCGATACGCTCGGTACGAAGGTCACGAATGCCAGACACGAGTGGGAGGTTGTAGAACGCGATACTGAAGTCGCGGGTCATACCGCCTTGGGCTGAGGTTGACGTCGGGTTAAGGTAGATGTAATCGGGTTCGAACTCCCGTACGAGACTCTGCAGTGCACGACGCAGATAAGGGAGGAATCTGAATGAACGTCAGAGTGCCGTGTGTGGCCTGCGCATCTATACATACCGGTAATATTGGTCGCTGATAGCCCTCGCCAGTACCTCATCACGCTCTAGCAGATGACTGAAGTCGACATATAGCGTGGAAGTCTCATTTTGCTTCATATTGTGGATTTGTGTGATATAGTATTTCTCGCCTTCGACATCCGGGGGAAACGCATCACTAGCCGGTGTGACAGGCAACAGAACGTCCTCGGTGTAGCTGTCCTTCGGTCAACATCGCTCTAGGCAGGGAGAGAGGAGACGTACTCCTTCAAGAACACCTCAAAGCTCTCTCTGACTTTCTCACCCGTCTGATCCTTAACTTGTGGGACATCCTCCTCGAACTGTCTCCGAGCGCGTCGGCGCTGACGCGTATCTGGATCCTCTTCCTGAGGCGGACGAGGTTGGTCATCGGCGTTTCCGTTGAGAGCTAGAGGGTCAGCCGCCTGTCGTCGACCAGCAGTTCCATTCTGAGCATTGCGACGAGGAGAAGAGCGGTCAGGAGCTGAGGAAGCAGGAAGGGAAGAAGGCGCAGGCATGGTTGTCGGGAGGCGGCGAGAGGGAATGGGGACGCGTCGCGAGAGGTCAATCAATGTACGACGCGTCTAGGACCCCGAACACCTCTCGTCTAATTGCTTCTAATGACCCCTAAAGGTACAAGTTAAGACTCACATATCTGGCGGCTTGGGACTGGGGGGTTCCATCTCCGTAGACGCGACCATATTACTCCAGTTCATTCCCAAAGTACATCCCGTTCTCTATTAGCCCAGGACTACTCAAGATAGAGTTCATAGGCTCGAGTTTACCTTACGGTGGGACCGCCTTTCATTGATAATGCTCCGCTCGCTCTTCCAGCCTCCAGGGGTACTGTACCTACTGTGTCGCAGAGCTTGTAGATGACAGGGCACAGAAAAGTGGCAGAGAACATTGCTCAGAAGTGAATGGAATATAGACCTGCTTATGAAGATAGATGGTCGAAGATGCAAGTGGGATGAAAATTCGCTGTACACTTTGCGACCATGCAATCCGCGCTAGAAGCGTGGATGTCATTAACGAATGTGGGATACAGAGATAGCGAGCCAATACAAGTGATCCGAGTTACACTTATTGATATATTTGGAGGCACACACTTTAAACTTACTTGTGATGGGGCACCTCCTTCCCGCCCCAGTTCCACTAGCTTCTCTCAAACAGAGATCACGTGGAATGCTTCAGGTAGGCTCGGTCCAGTCCACTCTTCTAGAATTACCTGCGTCGCCGCGGTCTCCCGGTCCCATCTGCGCACCACCTACTACCCAATTAGTATATATTAAGGTGCTGAGCACTGGCGTATAGCTCATAAACCTTGGCCACTTGGCCGACTTGTCTTAGTGTGGAGGAACAGGTTTTCGCTAGCTCCGTAAGTCCCGAAAGTGGGTCGGGCTGGCGCAACGCGAATGAGTAATCCATATCGCCCAAGTGTAGGGTGCGCAGGAATGGAAGTGATGTTGCGGATATCGCTTCTCTCAGACGCAGCTACATGCCAGGAACAAGTCAGCTCGATGTTCAACATGACGCACGTTAGGCGAACCCGATCGAATTCGAGTCCGAGTACAACGAGTACCTCAGGTTTCGGACAAAGAGCTGCAAGGGCCTCCACAGCTTCCAACGGGGTTGATATCCATGAGATCAATACCTCCTTAAGTGTCTGTGCATGTTGAGTCGCAAGGCTGCGGACGAATAATGGGCCGAACTTGCAGTTCCTTGCGGGTGGTGCCAATGAAAACCTGATGTCTAGAGAGACAGCGAATGATGTCAGCGAGGACTCGGCGGTCAACTTCAGTATCGCATCGAGGAATACTTGGGGTGGTGAACGCGGCGCAGGTAGCATGAGCGTAAGTGACTTGAGCCTCGGCAGTTTGAGTCCCGTTGCCAGCTCCTTCAGGTCGAAATCAGGGCTCATGCTCTCCAGACCGAGATCCTCAAGCCTCAAAGAGCATCCCCGTAATATAGTATAAACAACGATATGATCTGCGTTCGGACAGTCGCAAAGATGAAAAGACTTGAGTTGCGTGAGATACGGTGCGAGGTTGGTGAGCTACTTGCTTCCGATGTAATACATTGTTGACTGCGATCCGCGTGTTCAGAAATAGTGGTTCTAACAACGACAAGATTGCGCACATGGCATATGATCTTAAGCTCTCGCAGACCAATCTCTGTTCCTCGTTCCTCGTCTGTACCATCAACACATATCGCAGAAAGCCATCGTCGTAGTACGGCGACGACAGCTTTGCTCGGCATCGCGAGCTCGAGTGCTCGAATCTGCCGCACACGAATCAGATCCGCAGGTTCGTAACTGCCTGAATATGCGTTGATGTCAAGCCTCTGAAGTCGGGGCAAGCTCGCGAGGGCGACGAGCATTTGGGTCGTTAAGGTACCGTAACGGCTGATGGAGGGTCGTGAGCGCTCCCGATACGCGACCGCTGGGCTAGCAATACTCACGGCCAAATACAAGACTCGAGGTTCACACAGTTCGCAAGTCCCCGCTCGCAGTGTTCAAATACCGTATCTCGGTCCTCCCCTTGCCCTAAAGGGAACTCGAAGTCCCGATAGAAGTCCCGTACATCAATATGCTTCACCCATCTAGCAACTTCTGATCGCTCGGCAAGAGTTCGCATAAGTGATGCAGCCTGCAGTTATCAGCTTTGGTATGATTGGCACACATGAATCGCCGGCGCACCCGGGTCTTTGCATTACAATGCCAGCTGTAGACGGCGACGCGTCTATACAAAAGCGGAGTCGCGAACGCATTCCAATTACGATTCACAGATGCACAGAGTACGAGGCTACTCTCAGGTAACGGAGTGAGTATTGGAAGTAGAAGTTCTGGCGGCAGGCTGTGGAAGGTCGCCATCGAGTTGTGCGTTCGACATGTGAGCGACGCCTAACTTCTTCACATATCGGCTTTACGATTCCACCACATCGGTGTTAACCGGCCGGTGTCTGAGCAGTTTGATGGGGAACAGTTGTGGCTTCGCACCGCCAAACACTACATTCAATCATATAAAGATAGATCATATTACAGC